ATACGGTACCCCAGATTTCACCCGGGGTACCGTAGAAGGCACCATATATATATAGTTTTGTCTTCGGTGCACTCACTTTTTTTGGTGCATTCAATGCACTTAAAAATCATTGAAAAATTCAAATTCAAATTATTTTCAGATGTTTATTATTTATTATCAAATTAACAAAAAAATAAATTATAAAAAAACATAAATAATTGTTTTATTTTTTGGGTAATTTGAAAATGATAAATTTTATAAATTAACCAAAAATTATCAAATTATTTATATTTTTAAAATTATCCAAAATATAAAATAAATAATTTATATAATATTTTTATAAAATTAAAATTTAATTTGATAATTTTTGGTTAATTTTAAAATTTATCATTTTCAAATATCCCAAAAAATAAAATATAAATTTTATTTTATATTTTATAAATTTTATTTTTTTGGTTAATTTGAATGATAAATAATTGAAATTAGGAAAATAATTTGAATTTTTTTAATGATTTTTAGGCTGACGTGGCGTGTTGACCGTCCAAATTGATGGTCAAACCATGGGTCGGGCCAATTGAGTCTATATACTGCATAGTTGAGGTCAGAATGTTAATTTCTGAAACCACGTGCCAAAATTGATTATATTGTCATAGTTCAGACCAAAATAAGGTATTAACTCAATTCTAAACAATAAAAAGTACTTAAAATGGATATTGTTAGATTACATAAGGTAATGACTATTTATTAACCAAACCTTTTTCGAATTCTTTTTTACTAACCAAACCTATTGAAATACTAAGAACTAGCCAAATGATAACTTTCAGTTAGCAATTTTGTTAGTAATATTGACTTGGCAACATGATACTGACTTGGAAGAAACACATGGAGGTCAACATTCCATAATTTTAGTATTTTAACTATGAAAAAAGTACAAAATTATTAACGATAACGTAAAAATGGTTAATGTTTTGATGCATTTGGTGATCAGTTATGTATTGGAGACGAGCTTAAAGAAGGAGTGAGGTAGGTGTTGATGCTTTGCTTGATGGATTTGGTGAGGGATTTGGATCATTCATGGACTTTGTCCAAAATCCATTGTTTGTTTCATATATTAAGGGGCAACAAATATGTGGGTCCCATGAACTTTAAAGGTCCAAATCCATGGACCCCACGGACTTCAAAGTTCCACCTATTTAGGTAGGAATTGATCATGGACTTTGAAGTTCATCATTTAAGATCAAACTACCTCTCCTATTTCATTTCTCTTCTCATACCAATTAGGGCAATAAAGGTAAATTTCACTTCATACATACAAATCTAATTAACCAATTCCATCATAAAATCAATGAAACAAACAATGATATTTTTCAAGTCCATGATGAACCCAAAACCCTCATATATCCATGATTTTACAAAACCCAAATTTTACCAAAACTTTACTTTTTCAAATTCACGAATCAAACGACCCCTAAGTCAAACCAGATAAATTGTGATAGTTGAGGCCACATCCAACTATTAGTTTGCTTTTCGTCCAATTTGAAACCCCCTACTTATAATGAGGGTTGTTATTTCCCGCCATGGTATTTACTATTTGCCGCCCATAATATTGATGAAAATGTCATTTTTACCCTTCGTTCAAGTTTGTATTCCACCACAACACCATCGTCGGTGGCGCCATACCACTGCCGTTGGCGCTACTGCCGCCAGACCACCACCGCGCCAACATCAGACCATCCCCACCAGCACCAGACTACCACCGCCGGCAGGTGAACCCTGTCCGACAGCGGACCCCGTTGGTGAGACACGAAAATTAAATTAAAAATAATCTAATGGAGTCAAACACAGAAATTAAGAATAACCTATACTTACCTTAATTAAATTAAAAATTATGTTGGTGAGACAAACACAGAAATTAAACTTACCTAAACTAGCAATCAATTAATTAATTCCACAACGCACGTTTAAAATTCTGCCTCACCAAATCTGAACTAGCAATCAATTAATTCCACAACTCAGGTTTCCAGCCTCACCAAATTTACACTAAGTTTCCACACACAAAAAATATTCGTTAAGTGATTAAGTGAGACTTCGAAGAAATAAGAAATTAGTTTTAAATTCGTTTTCCCCTAATTCGGTTGGTAGCAATAAAAAAGGAAAATAATTAATAATAAAAAAATATTACAATTAGACGTCTGCCATTAGCTTAATTAATGAAAATAACATTCTCATCATAAATCCTAGGTGAAATAACGAAAATAGGAATGAAATTCAAAATTCAAAATTTAGAAGGAATAAGAAATTAGTTTTAAATTTCGTTTCCCCTAATTCTGTTGGTACAATAAAAAAGGAAAATAATTCATAATAAAAAATATTACAATTAGACGTCTGCCGTTAGGTTAATTAAGGAAATCAGCATTCTCATCATAAATCCTAGGTGAAATAAGGAAAATAGGAATGAAATTAACAATTCAAAATTTTAAATCCTAATTATGGTATTTTAAAATTATTTAATTACTAACGAATTGTACACCGACGTCGGGAATTGTACGCAAGGCACCGGTCTGACGCCAGCAGACGGACCAAAAAAAATAATTTTTAACATTAATCTCGTCGGTTATTAATTAAGGAAATGAATTGAATATACTGACTATGACACGTGGGTTGTTACGTACTAAATGGCCATGTAATCATACTAAAATGACTAGTTAAGAAAATGAATTGAATTGATATTACATACTAAAATGACCATGTAATCATATTGATAATTTATCTATAAGTGTGGATATGTTATGTAATCAAACTAAAATGGCCTCATTTTGCATTGTATCAATTTTCGCATTAACTAGAGTCATCGACTTAAAAATTATTGAAACCATCGGTGATCCTCTAAAATGTGGATACAAACATGGTGAAATCAACCATTTCTCGATTGGATGTCCCAGACAAAAAAAGACGAATAGTGTCAAAATTTCCACCGATATTTTTGGGGGCTCTGTGAATCATAAAAAGGTGTTTCTTGAGCCTATCATGCGTATTTTCAATGATGCAAACAAATGTTGTTAGTGGAAATAGAAATGATTTTACCTCTAAGACAATGTCGTAGATGGATTGAGGTTGAAGTTAGCTATTTGGTGGTAATTAGGGTTTAGGGTTTGAGGTAGAATGTGTAGAAGGGGAAGATATGCTTTCATCTTTAGTTACTGTCATCATTGTTTCGATTAGATTAAATGTTAATTAATCTAGCTAATTCCATGTTTAAAATCCAGCCGTACAGATATCCAATCTTTCATCCAATGCCTTGAATTTGTATAAAAACATATCTAATTTAACGTGGTAGAGGCTCCTGGACTCAACTCGCATTCATGCTTCTCGAATTGAGCTCCAAAATAGGCTTGACAAACACGTTGCCAGACTTAGCCATTTCCAGGCAGTTTCCCAGTTTTGGCATAGCCTTTTGATGAGGTTCAAAAATAGTCTTCTGGACTTCCTATCGAGCTCTCAATCACTTCAATATGTAGAGGGACACTCCAGCTTCAAAACAAGTCATTAGTCTTCAGTTTCCATCTAGCCAATTGTATGATATGAATATCCAAAGTATGCACCATGAACTGTTTTTACACTGAAACAACATATTAGGTCGACTTGATCCTATATGTGGTCAACCGAATCCTAAATGAGGTCGACCAGATCCTATATGAGGTCGACCGAATTCTAAATGAGATCGACATAATCCTAACTGAGGTCGACCGGAAAGTGCAAGTCACCGTGACATGCATGTCACTATAGGCACACCCCTTTAATCTAACTAAGTTACCGGTTCTTAATTATTTGGAAAAAATAATATACTAATAAATTATATTTCATACGAGTTTGGTAATTACCATGGATTGGGATGTTAATTTGAGAGTGTAATTAGGGAAATAAAATTAGACGTGGGTTATTGGGATGAATTTATTTTAGGTTGTTAATTATGAAAATAATCATTAGATGTATTGGGAGCAAATTAGGTTGGGTTGTTAAATAGGAGGTTGTAAATTAGGTTGTTAATTCCAGAAATTTTGGTGCTTGATAATTATTTAATACAATATTTATATACAATTAACGTTTTCCATTAGGTTAATTGAGGAATCAAAATACTCGTCATAAATCTTGGTTGAAATAAGGGAAATAAAAATTGAATTAATTCATAATTTTAAAACCTAATTATGGTATTTTACACTTATTTAATTACTCAATAATAATTCAAAAATGATTTTTTTTAAAAGTCGTAACCGTCCAACGTTGAGTTTCGGACCCCGTCCGCCACCGGATTCGGACCCCGTTCGACGCTGGTGAGTGGACGCAAAAAAAAAAAACAAACTTTTGGCTTCTCCGCAAGCTCCTTCCTCTACGTCGGTAACGACAACACCCGCGATGAGCTCCTTCCTCTTCAACACCGGCGACTTTTTAAGGGGAGGGAGTGAGGACGGACGAATGAAGGGTCGGCGGTGGGAGCAACGGTGTAGGGGTTGGAGGAGTGAAGTGGTCGGCGGTGGTAGGATGTTGTGGGAGGAGGGAGGAGGGAGGAGGTTGTGAGGGTATGGGTTAGATAGGTTTAGGTTAGTTGGAAAAAGGGCAAAATGGTCTTATATTTTTATAACTATGGGTGGCAAATAGTAAATACTTGGGCAGAAATAGAGATTCAACTTTTAGGGGTCGTTTGAAAGTTGGGATTTCAAACGGTGTATTTAACCAATACATGTTATCAGAAGAATTCGTCGTTTTTTTGTCTTAAGCAAAAACAGAATACTTGTATTTATCTACAGATGGGACCACCAGAATCATTCATTATGAATGATTGCCAATCTCAGCTTTTAGCAGAGATTGTGTTTGAGGGATTGGTAACTCTCTTTTTCTTTCTTATGTTTTGAGGGACCACCAAAATCATTCAATCTCCAAACAATGTATTTTTCAAATTCATATATTGAAACAATACAGTCAATTAATTATGTATTATGGAAGTATATATTTTAGTTATATATTATAAGAAAAGTCATTTATTCTATCGAAAATTGTACCACTAACTTATAAATCGGGTCCACTGTAAAAAAAAACTTATAAATCGGGTTAATTGCATGATTGGTCACTGAGATTACTAAAAACGTTCATGTTTGGTTACTTGAATATTTAAATCCAATAGTGGTCCTTTAGTTTAGTAAAACCGTTCACATTTGGTCATTTTCCGTTAGTCGGCATCCATCTCCGTCAATGAAGCCCGTTAAGTAATGATGTAGCGTACGAAATCATATAATCAGTCCTATTTAACCCAAAAATAATGAGACCGCCACATCACTAAGACCCGCCATGTCATCTGGACCAACCCAACCCTCTACCCATACAATACCCCACCCGACCTTTGAACTGCGTTTGGCTTGCTGAGCAACCTTCGTTGAAGTTCTGGTCTTCTGGACAAGGCGAACTGCAATCTCAGCGGCGAAATCCCTAGTAGCTTGAGCCGATTGAGCCGGCTCAACAGTCTGAAGCTGCTCGACGTTTCGTTCAATTACCTCATCGGTTCAATCCCTAGGGATTTATGCAAGGGAGGGAAATTAGAAACCCTAATTTTAATGAACAATTTCTTCATCGGTCCTCTCCCAGACGATCTCGGCGATTGCCATTCACTGAAGAAGATCCGTATCGTGGTCCGTGGATAACCTCCTCAGCGGACCCGCCGGCATCTTCAGTACCCCTGCCGTCACCTTCCTGTGATTCAGCAACAACTTCTTCGGCAAACTTCTGCCGGCGATGTCGGCGCCGCAGCTCGGCCTTCTCACGGTTTCCTACAACCGAATTGAAGGCGGAATCCCTCCAGCCATTGGCAACTTGGCGAACTTGCAAATTCTATTGCATGATACCATCAGATTGTCCGACGAAATCCCGACTCGGGTTTTCAGTCTCCGCCACCTCTCCAAGATCAATGTCAGCGCGCGCTAACAACCTAACAGGTGAAATCCCGGCCTCAATTTCTCACTCCTCGTCACCAACCTCAGCCAATTTCAGCCGGAACCAGCTCTACGGCGAGATTCCAAAGGGGATCTTTGAGCTCAAATATTTGAGCATTCTGAATATCTCCCGCAATCAAATAACCGGTCAAATTCTAGGCGATAAAGGGTACATGACCAACCTCACCACTCTTGATCTCTCCTAAAACAAATTGTGGGGGAGGATCCATACGGTAGGACAGAATGAGAAGGAAACAGAGGGAGGCTAGAAAGCCAATTAAAGAACATAGAGGGGTCGTTAGAAGGTTGGGTTGGTACTGATGATATGACGGGTCTAAATGATGTGGTAGGTCGAGTTGGTTCGGTCATTCTTTGGGTTAAATAAGGTTGATTAGACGAATCCGTCTGCCATATCATCACTTAACTGTCCCCGTTAACAGACATAGATGGCAACTAACGGAAAGTGACCATACGTGAACGATTTCATTAAACTAAAGGACAACCAATGAATTTACATACACATCAAGTAAGAACATGATTACAACTTAAGCCAAAGTTTTTACTCAACTTTCTCAAAAGTTAAACCAAGCCCTCTTCAGAATGCTTATGATCAAGAAAATCTAGCCCAGACTCATAATGACTTGATTAATAAACTCATAATAATCCGACGCTAATTAAACTAAACCATTCTTAAGCCAAACAAAACAACATTTAGGGAGCAGAAACGGAAATAGTCATCTCGTCTCATCCATAATCCAAGCAGTTGTTAAGTTTCGCTTCAACAAACCATACCCACTCACTACTACTAGACAAACAATAGCCTCATAATACTTCAAAAATCAAGCTAACTCCTCCCGATACGCGGCCCTCGAGAGACGACAAAAGCTTTCGTCAGAATCAAGCAGACTGAAACCCTCCTGACGAAGAAGAGCCGTTGCGGCATTCAGCCAACATGTCCATGTACACCTGGCACTTGCTGATGTCTGCTCCAAAGCTGGTGAGGCACTGCAATTAACACAGCAATCCAAGGAATTAGCTTTACCCAAAACCCTGCCCGCATTAGCATTGGGAGAGATGAATGAATGATGAAATCAACCAATCCATGCTTGATGCGAATCTAAAATCATCAATGCAATGGATCCAGATCAATTACTCACATCTTGCAGAGCCTTGGAGTGCCCGCCACATGCATTGGCATCAGCAGTCTGAGCAGCAGTCATCGCTGCAGCTGGCTGCTGTGGTGCGGCAACAGTTTCGTGCCTCACGGTTCGAGGACCAAAGACAGCATCCACAGCCCTGTGAGCCATTTCCATTCCAGCTCCCCAGCCCAGTACTGTTCATTCATCATCACCCAGGAGATTTGCAGTCAGGTTGCAGCTAGGCATTTAATTTTTCTAGCTTAAAGCCTATAGGTGCTGTACAAGATTCAACTCACCATCAGCAATAGCACCTCCGATACCTCCCAGCACAGATCCGGTGCTGGTCGACTTATGGACTGGATGAGAAGAAGCAGCTACAGTAGTAGGACAAACAAGACCGTAATCATCAGCTACACTAGAATATGTACTAATGCATGTGAGGAAACAACAACCAACTGCACTTTGTATCCAAACTACAAACAATCCATACATTGAAAGAGGACTGACAGAAATTCAACAATGTGACTATCCAATCAGGATAGTACAACCGTCCATACGCTAAATTAGGCAAAGGGCTTATTCTCAATGACAGGTTATGATCGTTCAACATTCACTAGCTAACAGCTTTTCCTAGAACAGCTTAAGGACTAGGTTCTAAGAAAAGAAAGCAATCGTTCAGATAAGCGAAATCCAAGAGCTAGATGATAACCTTTAGTGGCAGGAGACTTGCTGAACGAAGAACGAGAGCCTGAAACACCAGAAAGATGAAACGGAGATGAGATTAGCGGTAAGGATTGTACGGCCAGCAACTACACTTCACCGAAACCCTAAGTAATTTCAAGAAACTGAACAAATCTGGGGGAAAACCCCAGCACGATAAGAGAAAGCGCAACCAGGCCACAGATCTCATCCATGTAAACACACAGTCGCACAAGCACACTGCACACTCAAGTTCGACGATCAACAGCAAGAATCGCACAGTTCCATCTCAGAGGAAGCAAAAAATTTCATGTGCTTCCGTTCCGTACACACGAACATCCAACGAAACGGAAACAGATCGACTCAGATTTTCTCTCCTCGGCAGTCAGGATACATATGAGTCGCGAACAGACCGCAATGAAGTTAACTCGCAAAAGTAAAGCAAAGGAAAGCAATGCAACGAACGATAACTCATGAAAGCAGCCATGGAACCGAAATTTCACCGAAGAAAATTCTTCGAGTAGATTTACCTCCGCCAGAACTACGGCTACTGCTCTTGCGACCCATGGCGAGACGATCCGGTGAGAGAGCAAACGAAAACTGAAGCGATCGGCGGGAAAAAGGCTGTAAGCTTTTCAAAGCGAAGGAAGGCACAAAGTTAGAAGGAGGATGTCCAAAAGGAGATATTTATATTGACTGCTGCTCAGTGGGGGCATAAACCAGAAATCACGTATATTTTTCTTGAAGAATAAGCCAGTCAGCTGGGCTTTTTTCCTTTTCCTTTTTCTCAAAGGATAGCTCGGCTAATTTGTTTATTGGTCCACGTGTTCCGAATAACCGGAGAGAGACATCTCTGAACTTATTTATTTTATATATTCTCATCCCCAACTTTGAGAATTTTTTGGGCAATAGAAGTGTTTGTCGGAGTTGCTAATGGTCGCTTAACTTTTATTTTATTTTACATATGTTAATAGTATAAATAAATTTCATAAGTTTTGAGTAGTTCATTTTGGAATGAATTTTTTTTCTGTTTGATATTTAAAAAAATATATTTTCAATTCTAAATTTTGAATTTTACGGAATTAGAACTAATTATAGTAATTTCGAGGAATTGAGATAGAATTTCCAAATGAATTCCACAATGTTTACTAATTATAATATAATGCAATAATTATCATCAATTATTAACTAAATTACTTCGACATGTATTATATGGCGCCAATTCATGCAGTATGAGGAACATCGACAAGAATTTGTTTGCAACGCTAGTATCATATGCTAGTTATTGGATATTTCTGCTTCAATTGTATATTAGTACGTTGAAAAGGCACAACTAGAGCGTAGGGTTCTTGATGAAATATTAGAAAAGAACTAATGAATATAATAGAAACACACAAGAACATTTTATATATTCTACGTACGGGATCAAAGGCGTTTTTTAGAAGATGGATTTTCAATGAATATGGTTTCTGCCGGAAATCTAATAAGGGTGTAGTTTGAAACTTTTGATTTAATTGAATTCTACACGTATGCCAAACATGATTTCAATATTCAATTTATTTTATTTCTAAAGATTTGAATGCGACATGCCAAACACAGGAATTCATTTGACAATGAATTCTACATGGTAATTCATTTTAAAATGAAATGAATTCTTGGTTCATTTGGTACCAAGCGGTACGTTAGTGGGATCCTTATAAAAACCTCCTGAGCATTGGACAGTAGTTCTGACCGGTAAAACCGGATTGGCGGTTCGCACGGCTCGTCCGGCTAACCGGTCAACTAAATTGCAAAACCCCTAATTGACCTGTAGCGGCTAAATTACCTGGCCGGACCGAAATGAAAGTCGGTTTGCGATTTCACCGATCTGACCGACCGACTCGGTCCGACTTTAATAACACTGGCAATAGGGAGTTTTTCTCGAAATTGCTAATTGTCGCCTAACTTTTATTTTAGTTGGATCCTTATTTATAACAATGTAGCTCGGAATAAGTTCGACGGTGATTTTTGTAGTTGAATGTTAAATTCCAATTGTAGGGTTCATGAATTTGCCTCATATCTTGCTTGTCGTATCCAATATGTCTCTATTGAACTCTTATTTTTTGTTCATTTTTTGGTAGGTAGTTTGTCTTCTGTTCAATGGTTTCAGTGACATTGTAGGATGTAATCCGTTTGGCTTTATGCTTAAGGCTTAATTACAACTAGGATGGAAGCCCGTGCTACGCCACGGAATTTGGAAGTATTTCATAGAGCAGTGCAAGCTGTGAAATTCTCCGTATTGTTACAAATTACATTTCTGCTAAACATTAAGCAGTCAATGGTAGTTGTACATTAGTACATGGTAGTATGTCATGTGAAACTAAATAAAAGGGTTAACAACTGGTTTCATGAATAAGAAGGCCTTTTTGCCCATTCTCTGACTCACCTTTGATGAATACGAATTCCATCTTTCTTCTCCATTTATGTACTTCATTTCTCATGTCGGCTGAAGATTCTATAATGAATTAATTCTCTGTTTGTTTATATGATGACTGTTAACAGAAAGTGGTTAAAAACTATAAAAAAAAAAACAGAAAGCTTTTACAACAAAGCAATAAAGTAGCTTGAGAGCTGAAAAACGAACTACATTGGGGGATAAAGCTCATCGTAAGGCCACTATTCATACGGTCATCTGTATAGATATGTATAGGGGAGTTTTATAAATTTCTCCCCTTTACTCCTCTCATTGATTGCCCTTGTTCATTAAGCATACACCATTCCATGTGTTGCTGACAAAATTAAGGTAGTGACACCTCACGGAAATCTCAGCAAACCACATACAAAAGTTATATTCAATAGGGTATTTGATTTCTCCTATTACTAAATACTTATGCAGTTGTATACACAGATATTTGAAACCTGAATTAGTGGAATCTCAGTTTCACTATTTCCCCTTGATTTCTCTGGTCCAGTGGAACCAGAGATTACTTACGTCAAACATGTGACTCTTTGGTGGATGAAAAATCTTTCAGCTTAAGTTGTAATACTCACAAACATATCCTAAATCCAACAATGAACTGCTAAAAGGAGTAATGCCACCATATAGATTTTACTTGACATCATCACACTCAACTGTTTCATATGTTTGATTAAGCTACTCCTTTATTTCTCTGAAAACACCATAACTAACTGCTGCAACAGCTTATTGAAGCTCAACTTGGGGAACACTGTTTTAGAAGCATCAAGAAGATAAATCCTGACAGTATTGACAAAATCACTTAGCTCTCATGCATTCTATATGGTTCTATTTTGGATGGAAAAACGCATTACATAGTATGATGGGAAAGCGAAGATGAAAATCATGGCAATTAGTCCTGCTGATAAAGACTATCAATGAAAAGAGCAAGTGCCTTTGCATTGCAACTCCATGAATCTTTTCGGATTGCAAATCGAGTCTCACCTACCTCCTATCCTATGGTTGAGTGAGTCTGAACTCTAAAATTAGTTATAAGGTAAGGTTTGGTCCATTCACAATGGTAGAGATGAAGTAGCACAACATGAATCAATTCACATGTTGTAGCAGTACCATATTAGCACCCTAATTGTTCAATTTGAATCAAGTCCACCCTGTCACGTTATCTCGATTAGGAGGTAGATGAGGACTACAAATGCAGCCTTTATAACTAACACAAGTCATAGTGATTACTCTGACTACCAATCACAAACCATAATAACTTGACAATTAGACAGCTCTAAAATTCACAACTGCAACATGAGTAACTGTTTGACTACAGAGGCTTTAACTTGGTATTAGACATTTAGTACAACTCAGATCCAATGTATTAAAATAAAATCAGTTGTTCATTGTACAACAGAAAGGATCTTGCTTTTTTTTTATACACTACAATCAAAACTGGGAAATAAAAATAACAACCAACACAAAGCAATCATCTATAGTGTTTTTAAACTCCAAATCAATTTTGTTCATCAGTGTAGACTGGAAAGAACCTGGCTTTTTTAGACACTTAATTATCAAACTCAAAAAGTTGGGTGTACCATTGCCTTAGAACTCTAATCATAAGAAGCTATTCCAGAATTGGATATATAAAGTCGATTTGTATAAGAATTTGCAGAGCTAGGTTTTCTTGGAAGTCCAAGAGGTAACTCAATGTCTAGGAATTTTTTATGAGCAAACAAATGATTGATTATAGGGACAAACCACTGGGCTCTATCACCACCCTCCACAATGAATCTCAAATTAATAATCCCTACCTTTGTTATATGTAAAAGATGATTCTGTTATTCTTGAGTTCATCTAGCCTAGGGGTGAAAGAAGCAGGCTTGTCAAAATGCAATTAAGGAATCAAATTGTGGTCGAGCTCGGTAAGTCTTGGAGAGTTGTGTACTTACCCAATTCCAGCAAGTCTCAACTGGGGAAATCTTTGCCTGAGTTCGTAGATGTGGAACTACTTTGCGTTGCCGGTCTTGTCATCCTAGAAGGAGACAGGTTGAGGAGGCGGTAGCGAGAGAGCGGGCGAGGGCTTGAGCTCCCTCATGACTGCTTCAACTGAATCGAGGAAGGGGGAAAGAGAGAGATTGAAGAGCAAACGGCAAAAGACGGAGGGAAAAGAGAGGTCCAGACAACAGAGGAGGGGATGTGGCAATCTTTTTCTTTCAGAACACTCATCCGATACGGCCGACCACCAACTTTGGGTGCTTTTCTTCAATCGATGAATCGGATCGGACTCCCCGCCGCCGCCGAGGCCTTAGTTTGAGTCTATTGATTCTAAGGGTGGTAAATAAATTAGAGAGAAGAAGGAATGAAATGGGAAAAGACGGAGAGAGAAACGAAACCGCAGGAGAGAGGACGTGTAGCGATAGTGATCCAACGGCTGGAAAATTGAGATCCAATGGTTATTGATTGGTCAACCCAAAGCAGTTTTACATAGGATTCAATAAAATCGACCACAGAATGTTGCTGGCCCATTATGAACAGTAACCTCCGAAAATATCTTAATGAACAGTGCCCGAATTTTGAGTAAACTTGTGGCTTAATAATTCTAATAATTCTCTGTAATGTAGGCTTTGTCGTTCAGGTTTATTTTATAAAGAAGGAGTTGACAAATTGTCAAACCTTTTTCGGGTCCTCTTCCGTGACTTGTGTGCTTGTGATTGGCAGATGGGGAACAACCTTGGTGAATAGAAGGTGAGAGTAAAAAAGGGAGATGGGGTACGAACTCCAAGGGGAGAAGGAATGGCGGTGGAGGGTATTCAGAGAGGAGAAAAAGTAGAAGGAAGATTAAGAATTTTAGGGGTTTGTTGAAGTTAGATTGACTGGTGAAGGATAATTTAGTAATATTATATTTCATGTTACGATGATAATAGTAAATTAGGGTGACGTTAACTATTCAGTTTTTTTTCATTTCGAGATTTTTTGTTTTTAGGTGTCAACTCGCGGATCGACCCCGGGTGGACTTGGATTGATCCTTGGAGTTCGTTCCCATGATTCCAAGTCTGGCAAAAAACTTTCACGGCCAGGAACTAGGGTGATTTGATAAAGCTGTAACAAGCGATTGGCAGTCGAATTTAATACACACTGAGTGATCCATTCTTTGATCTGCAATACAACTGTCTGAAGAGCCTTAGCTTCCACTTCAAGAGGTGAGGAACATTGCACCAAACTAGCTTCCCCATCAAACACTTGACCATGGTTGTCGATCATCTCAAAACCATAAGTTGCCTCCTGGGGTTCGTTGTTAAACAATCCATCACAGTGAATCTCGAAATCAAAATTGCATGGTAGTGGGCAAGAGTTATTCTGGTCTCCCTCTGCTGGTAAAGGGTCGTTCGCTGATGGGAGAGCAATGCAGAAAAGTGTGCCATTGGACGAGATCTCTGTGGCATTGGACTAGGTTAACGGGGGCAAGAGGCAATATTCTTGAAAACCTTTTCATTCGTGGCTTTCCGAATTGCCCACAGTAGATAGTGATTGTTGGATTTTCATTTCTGTAAGAGATTTGTTCAACTTATAGATCCAGACAAACATGTTGGTTAGGGTAGGTGAAGTCATGATGGGTGGGAAGCTTGCGTTCCAGGTTTCTTTCACAAGTCCACATTCGAAGAGGCAATGATGAAGATTTTCTGGAACTTAGTGGCACACATGGCATAAATAATATGGTGAGCAGTTACGTGAGTGCAGCTTCGTTCTTGTGGCCAAATCGTTCTTTACACACCTCCAGATGAAGAACTTAAGTTTCAGAGATAAATTGGTGCCCCAAAGCCATCTTTATTTCTCTATCCCCCTGAGTAGGGTCGTTAGGGGGTACCATTCCCTCTTCTTTTGTGCTGATGAACTGGTCGATAAGCTGGCCTGACAGATAATTGTTATTGACTTTAAGCTTCTGGTGCTTCTTCGTGGCCGATAGGTATTTTCCTAATGGCTTCGTTTTCATGTGCCATCGTAAAGCAAGCAAACCTTTGTGTATCCCAAATTTTGTGGTTCTGGTCAATCCATTATGCAACCTTGATGGTGTGGGTTGTTCTAAACTATTCTTCCTCCCATACTCTGTTGGATCCATGGATCATGGTAAATGTTAGTAGTTCTTCAATGATGTGCCTCTCAAGATAATCCTTAGTTTTCCATAGACTAGACTGAATCCAAGAGGCTCTCACGCCCTTTTGAGCTCGTAAAAAATCTGTTCTCGAAAAAGAGAGAGCCTTAAGCACCTTAGCCCAAAGGTTATCAGTGTTATTCAGAAGCCAGCCAACATTGTTTGATAAGCAGTGCAATATTAAAATCTTTGAACTACCGGAAACCAATCCCCCTTAACCCCTCCTCAAAAGCATAATCTCCCCCTTGCACCAGTGAATCGCTTTGCGGTGCAGGGATCCCGACCATAAAAATATGTTGACGAGAGCGTCCATTTTATTGGTGATTATTGCTGGGAGGAGTAAAAA